TATACATACTTCGTATGTGTATACGGTGCGCTTACGAGTCAGCGAGGGGAACGAATTTTTTTTTACTACCGTCTATGATCTCGGACATCGTCCTCCAGCTCTTGGATTTCACCACCGGGCGCTGGGACGGACGTAGGAAATTTTTGATCGCGCGAGCGGCGCCCGCGCGTGCTCCATGTATACATACTTCGTATGTGTATACGGTGCTCTTACGAGTCAGCGAGGGGAACGAATTTTTTTTTACTACCGTCTATGATCTCGGACATCGTCCTCCAGCTCTTGGATTTCACCACCGGGCGCTGGGACGGACGTAGGATATTTTTGATCGCTCGAATGGCGCTCGCCTTTGCACCTTTACCTTTTGTTTTGTAACGATTCGACATACGTTTATAATTTTCGGTCACATGTATATACGAGTGATCGTCAATTGTTTCGCTCCAAGAACGATCCAAACTTCAATCACATTTATATAAAAATGTTATTATACATCTGACACTTTATATTTTTTATTATATGTGTATATTAGTACATAATAAATCACAGTTTACTTAGTAGATAATAAAAGGATATAAAATAAGGATTTTTATAAATAGTATGGCTCAATAAATTAAAATAATATGTGTAGAAGGGCTACGAGCCAGAAAACAAATAATAAAATATTTTTAATAATTTTGAAAACATTTTATATAAGACAATAATTAAAAGTTACACAGAAAACGCAAACAAAAGTAAGACTAAGAATTAAAATATAAACAAAAGTAAGACTAAGAATTAAAATATAAACAATAAAATATAACAGACGTTTCGACCTCTCTTAGGTCATTTTCAATGTTTAAACGTGTAAAATATTTTAAAAATTATGCATTACATATAAATTTTCAAAAAAGAAACTAAAATGCGAGATGGTAGCATTTTTTGCGATGTTTTTCTTCACAAAATAGTGTCGTCGTTGCGAGTATTAAAATAATTGTGTAGGTGTTACAAACTTTAATATGGAGGTGTCAAGTTTTTTAATAAGTCCATGAATAAATCTTCTATTTTTCATCATTGTCGGGTAGTTCTTCATCATAGTAAGTCTCATGGATAGTATGTCAATAAGAAAGTCATTCTCATGAACAGAAATGGTGAAATCGTAATGCAGAACTACAATTGTACAATATAAAATAATAGAAGTTATACTACACAATACAAATCCAGATACCACATAAATTCACATTCGTTCGACATATATAAATACCTATTTTATATGAAAATGACTTCCATATTAGCAATCAATGTTGTAGAAATATTTTTAATCGTCAGTATAATATTAGAGTAAATTCAAACAAAATTTAATTGGTTATAGAAAACTTAAAACAACGATATGGAACAGATGTTGTCACATAGAGACGATATAAAGTCTTACTTTTGTTTGCGTTTTCTGTGTAACTTTTAATTATTGTCTTATATAAAATGTTTTCAAAATTATTAAAAATATTTTATTATTTGTTTTCTGGCTCGTAGCCCTTCTACACATATTATTATAAGGATTTTTATTTTTAAATGTAGTAATGGTAACTTGAAAGGATATCACAAACAATATCATATTTTCTAACTTATTAATTTGTTTGGACATTTGTCTTAACAAAAAAATCAGATATTTTTTTATTTATTAATAAAAATCTCTTAAATAACTAAATAATCTATGTATTAAAAATTTAACTGTGAAACAAAAACTTAATATTTCTTTATCCAGATATCTCTTAGTAGATAACAAAGGCACACACAAAAATTTGTAACCCTGAGATTAGATCATGATATTCTTATGTATGTATTTTGATATTCTTTTATGTTTTGAAAGCGAATCTGATGTCCAATTGCTCCATCGTGTAATAATTTTTTTATTCACAGAAAACAACTAGATTTCCAATATTTTAAACTACTAGCTTGCATATTAATTTTACAAGCTTGTATATTATGATCGAAATTATATTCTCTCTTTTATTTCAGCTTGCTTATTAAAAACTAGATCATAAATGAAAATCAAGCTATTTTCCACCGATAAAAAATGTGACATGATGAAGCAATTTAGAATCGAATTTGATATATCAGAGTGTCAAAAAGAATATTAAAGTTTAATCTCCGGATCAAGTATTAAATTTTATTTTGTGTGCCTGTGTGCAATTAATCAGTTTACGAGTTATTCATATGGTCCATTAAAGTTTGCATAATTTTCTTTCGAAGCATTGATTTATTTGGTTCTTCAGCATCTTGTAATTCCTTAAGAACTAAATTTGCTAAAGCATGATCTTTTCCTTCATTTTGTTTATCTTTAACTCGGTTTGAGAGTTGAACTATTAATGAAGGAACAGCTTCAAAAGAATCTATAAACTATAAAGCAATCAACATTCATTTTTCCACTAGGTATGTTACATTTAGGAATGCTTGATGTTGATTTTGGTGATGGCGTTGATCTTGAAGATTTATCAATTTGTGGAGAAATTGATAGAGATGGTCTTTGTATTGGCACTATATTGGAATTTGAAATTTGCGTTGTTTCCGATGAATTTAGAGGTGGAACTAAGTTCTATATATAACAAAAACAATTATGAGGTTACATATATTCATGGCGACAATAAATTAACATTTTAGGCATTTTCTTTTTGAAAAAAACAAGTAAAATAAATTGAGAAACTAATTTCACATTGTTCCTTGAAATTTTAGCTATGTAAAAAAATTTTTTAAAACTTAAATGAAAAATTTTAAGAAATATTTTTACCAAGAACGTTATACTATAGTATATATTAAATAAATATCAAAACATACCGAATTTGTTAAATCCAAAAATGGATCTCTGTTGTTAAGAGATGTTGAATTTGGTAATAGCGTTGATTTTGCAGATATATTTCTTGGTGAAGATACTGATGGGGATCTTTGTACCGAATCTGTGGTAAGTATTGGCGATTGTGCTATTTCCGATGAATTCAAAGATGGAATTGAGTTCTATCATATATACAATCAAAACAATTAATACAAGCACGACATTATGAAACTAGTACAGAAATAAATACTGAATTGTCAAAACATACTGAATTTGTCAAAAGTGGAGTTCTATTTCTATTATTGATCAGCATCTTTGTTTTCAGTCAAATCACATATTTCATTGTCATTCTGGTCTACTGGGTCGTTGAAATATATGTTGTCACTATCATATGCGTGATCTGCACATATGTTTTTTAACTTACACAATCCAATAGTGTATAACTGTATAATACGTTACAATACACATACAATATAAGGTCTAGCTGTTCGCTGAAATTTCGTCACTATTCCTTAACGCTATTCCTCTATTCCTTCATTCTGCGTTAACGCCATTGTATACATACGTTGATATTGGACTGTTCCCTATTCCCTGTTCCCTGTTCTCTATTCTCTGTTCTCTGTTCCTTTTATTCTGCGCAGCCCCTTATACTCTTCGAGTACTACAAAATGGCGCAAAAAAAAATAATTTTTTTGAAACTTGAGGTGCGATCTTTTTTTTAAAAAAATTTATTTAAAGATATTTAATGATGAAGCTGAAGCTGGCAGTCAGACTTAACAGCCAGAACGCGGCAGTCAGGGACGAATAGGGTGCTGGGGCCCCAAAGATTAAAAATTAATAAAAACCATTAAAAAAACCATTGAACGCATCTAACACATTTCAGATGGCACAAAATACATTAATATATGTAAAATTTATAATAATCTGCCGGGAGATAATTTTTATTGATAGTAATAAAATTAAATAACAATCATATATTTACTATTAAGCAGCCAGACCGTACGCAAACTCGTAGCAACTTGAAAAAAATCACACACACTCTCCAAGACGAGTACAAAACGATGGAATGACCATTTTTCCGGGGATGGCCCTCATTGTTTATAGAAAAATTAAACAACATTTATAAACTATTGAGCAGCCAGACCGTACGCAAACTCGTAGCGACTTGAAAAAAATCACATACATTCTCCAAGACGAGTACAAAACGATGGAACGACCATTTTCCCGGGGACGGCCCTCATTGTTTATAGAAAAATTAAACAACATTTATAAACTATTGAGCAGCCAGATCGTACGCAAACTCGTAGCGACTTGAAAAAAATCACAAACGTTCTCGAGGACGAGTGTAAGACAAAGACACAAGGATTTGCTCGGAGACGGCTCTCATTGCTTATAAAAAAATTAAATAACCTTTAGAAAAATTATTTGAGTAGTCAAGTCGTACGCTGTTAATTGTCCGCTCTTGGTTAGTATCCAGAACCACGACGAGGACGTGGCGGACTAGGGTTCCGTTTCTTTTTGTTCTTTTTTTAATATTTTTTTTTGTTCTTTTTTATTTTTTAATTTTTTTGTATTTTATAACATTTTATATTTTTTGAGTCTGTTTTTTCTTAATTTTTTTTAAAACGCTTTCTTTTTTGTTTCTATTTTTCATAACATATTTATTATTTTGTTCATTTGTTTATACATTTTTTTTTTTTGCGTTCTAGTGTTAGGTGGTGATGCTTGATTTTGTAGCAGTAAATGTAGAGTCGCTGCAAATTCGAACGTGTTCTGGAAGTGGAATGGAACACTTTCAGATTTTTTCAATTTGTTTAAACTAAACTTCTCAGTTGTTAAGTCTTTGTTGTTATTACTCAGAATTAAGTGTAGGGATTTGATTGTTCTTTTTTCTAACCGTTTGTCCGAAATTGTATTAGCAAGATAATTTGCTATATGCCTTTACGGGCCGCACTCATGTCGTCTTCGGAAAATTTCGTGTAAGAACCTGAAGCAATTATGTATGCCCATGTGCATACGTGCATTTCACAATTTCCACCTACATCATTATTTATAATTTGCGATGGAATGTCTCGTGGGGTATACAGTGTCCATTCATCCCATAAACTCATTGAAATGTTTTCCTGTATGAAATTACAAATTCCATTGAGTATCTTTTCGTTAGGATTACCATGCAATGAGTCCAGATACACGATACTTTGTCGTGAATGGATTACGATTAGAATTGTCCAATGGACTGCAAAATTAACAGGTATGAGCCACACTGGATAGTCCCATACTGTGTTTCGAGTCGCCCACTTTTTATATCCTATGCTTACAAAACCTCGCGTTAATAAACTCTCGCAGAAATGAGTATCAAAGCATAACAGAGAGAATTTTATGCTTTTTGCAATTCCGGGTAAGAGTGTGAAAAATTCATTTATTATAACATCATCCAAGAATTGCTCCGCAGATTGAAATGGCATCAACGTTCTAAAATTTTTAACCTCAATTATGTATCCATTGATTTCTTTCCTTAAATCGGGAAATCCATTGGGATAAGTTAATTCTGCATGAAATAATACTTCATCTGCTGCTGTTTTAATAATAGGACTTTCTGATTTGCGTTTTTCGAAATTTTCCAAAGAATCATTGTCATGGCAATCTGTAGCTTCTTCACTTTGCTCAATCATGTTTTTTCTACCAATTTTGACAAATTTTGAGTATATCAGATACTTGTTCATTGGTTTGGGTTTCTTCCAGGTCTCGACAGCATCTTCATCGTCGCTAATGATTTTTCGAGCTCATTGCTTACAATGCGTAGTTTTCAATGGAAATTGTCGCTCTTTCAATCTCGCTTCAATTATTTTAAAATTTGCCATAATGAAACGCGGTACAGGAATGCGTATTTCCCTATCTAATATTTGGTGTTTTAAAATAATTCTCGATAGGAGCATTGCTGTCACGACTCAAATTAAATTGTGCAATACCTGTGGCTGACCATAAAGGAAAATAGGGCATTAAATATTCCGTGACGTAATCGAAAAACTCTTTGCAGAAAAATGCATTCGATTTTGAATAATTAATTTTGCTATTTTCCCGTGCACTCATCTCAATTGTTTTGAATGCGTGATAATAAGGCAACGATTTCCTATCGAAAGAAAACGTATCAGCTTGTGCCTGTGACGAATATATATCCGAGCTAGTGCTCACGTCTTCTGTAATAATCTTGATAGATTTTACTAAATGATTGAAATCATTGTCTTCATATTCATTTCCGAACAGTTTTACAAATACGTCATACACTCCAGCAGCAGCTGATACACAGTTACAGTGCATTATATTCGCTAACAGTGATGCTGCTATAGAACGCATGAGTTTTTGTTTCTTTCCATCCGGATAGCACTTTTTAATCTTTTGTGTAACTGTCTTTATAAAATGCGAAGAACACACATGATTAATAGTCACATTTCCTTGCATTAATGTTTTATTTTCGTATTTTTCGTACATGTACTGGATGTAGCTTGACAAAGTCATGACATTCAAGGCTCTGCATACTGATTGTATTAATGCCAGACTAAAATCTGTTTCGACCTTTTTTATTTTCTTTGTCGTTATTTTTCTTAATTTATCATTAAATACGTCCAGAAAATGCTTAATCGCTGTTACATCGTGTTTCGACGATATAAATTCAGCAACAGGTAATGGCCCAACATCAATATTTCCTGGTGCATAATAATAAATGGTACTTGCAGTACTGAGTTGTTCGGGTTGTGCAATGATCGAACCAGTTGAATCCAGATGCAAATGTCTCAGTTTGTCAGAAGCTAAACATCGTATTTGTTTTTCGCTAAATAGGATTACTGACAGTGGTATTATAGCAAATTCTTGGATATAACCATGTATCTCTTCACCGCGAATCTGTTCTTGTTGCTGATTAAATAATTTGGTCATAAATGTTATATATTCCTTATCGAGATCGTATTTTGCTCGATTTTTACTTGATATTTTTTGTAAAATATCTAAACTCGGAGTTTTATTTAAATTGCCTGCTCGTAATACTTCTTCGTCAGCATTGGCAAGCATTTTTAATTTTACTACAATTGCTGATCGTTTTTCCAACTCATCGGTTAACGCTGCCCTTACTTTGCCACGAATGTGGTGACGATGTCGTTCTTTCTCATGAGAAATATGATCGTTGACATAAACATGCACGATTTTATCAGTGTGAGGAACGTCGATATTTTGTGTTACAAAAAATTTAAATTTTGCACACGTCGAGTGTTTGCATTGAAAAGAGATGATACTTCTTTTTAATGTATTTCTACATTTATGCCACGAGATGGTTAATACGCAGAAAGGATGTTTTTTCAAATTCCGAGTTAAAAGCATCTACCCAACCTTTTCGTAAAGATTTATCCCTGCCAATCCAGAATTCTTCCCAAAAATGTTTTAGGAGAATGAAGGAACTTCTACACAATGATGGTAAAATTTTCTTTCTACCAACAGTTACTTTTTGAAGAATGCTAATCGGAGGTAATGGTTCACAATCATTTGCCGTGGACATGTCACAATCTTCTGGACATAAGGGATATTGATTATTATAAATATTGTACTTGATGATGAATCATTATCATTATCAACGATCATTTCTTCTTCAGAATGAAATGCTTCATCGTTTGTAATACTTAAGGTTAAAGTGCGCTCATCGTCGTCGATGGTCAGACTTTGAGGAAACATATCTACCAATATTTTTTCTTTTTTAATATCATTGTTAATAATATTAAGTTCGCCGAAATTATTTTTAGACATGTCTGAACATGATGAAATTTCTACCTGTTCAGTTTGCTCAACGTATTGAACAGATGGACATACATTATCAGTTTTGATATTTTCAATGTTACTTATAATGTTGCTCGTATATTTTTTGAACATGTCACTACATTTTCTTTGGTAATTGTCAATTGTACGCGGATCTACATTACCTATAATGTTACGGCAAACGTCTAACCACAAACATTTAGTAGAGTGGTGTTGCAAACGCAAAACGAAATTATCAATGTCGTCATCATACTTATTATATATCTGAACAATAGCGTCAGAAATAGTATCGATTGTAATAAATTTTCTGTATGTTTTCAATGCTGTAAAAATCTGAATATAAATGATAACAGAAATTAAAATTTTAAATTTCTGTATAGCAGAGGTGGAAGAATACAATTTTATTATTAATTCAACACCTACTGTAGAGCGTTGATGAGAAAAGCATACATCTATTCTAGAGCGCTGCAGAAAAGCCAGTCATATAAGACAAGCAATAGCAAATCCGCGAGA